CCCCCCCCCCCCCCCCCCCTCAGCCTACGGGTATAACCCAAACCAATGTACCACGTCCTCTGCTTCACGCCCAACTATCGCAGCAAAACACCCGCGCAATCGACAAAAGGCAATCTGTACCAGCGGTACAGAACCACGCCGTTGTATCACGCCCTCCCCCCCACCTCCCAGAATAATCTGCGTGGGCCCAATATCGGGTGAGCTCGAGAAAGGGAAGCGCCAAGCTCCCCTCTCCTCCGGCCGGCTGATATATCGCAAGAGGGATGCCTCGTTATAAGAGCGAGACTGCTCCCCAACAGGCATATCGACTCCTACTCTCCCTTCCGGAGATCAGAACAGACATCAACAGGGCGAAGGTCGTAACTTATCTGCTCGGCTTGGCCAATTGGCCGTTCAGTATCGACCAAGCACACAAACACACACCTCTTTCGTCTAGCACTACCCGCCACGGCATGCTCCGTCTCGAGAAGACATGCGTACGCAATCAGTGGTCCAAGTATCAAGGCAATTCATTACCCCCCGTCCCCACTGACACGTCTACCTCTACCCAATCTCAATCTCTTCCCGTCGACGCATTGTTACGCTACATGTCTGCCGTGGCCCACTTGTACGCGAGCTCCGCCTTGTAGTTGTTGTCGACCCCCTTGGCTACGATCCTCGACTCCCACCCGTTTCCACGGTCGTTACCGTCCCACCGGTAGCCAGGCCGGATGCCAAACCTTAAGACACGCAGACACAACAACGCGCGAGGGGCGGCAGGAACAGTCGAGGAAAGCACGGGGGAGGGGGGCGGGGAGTACTCATGTTTTGCATGCCTTATCGGTTAACAGGGGGTTAACAGGTGGCTAGCGGGGCGTCTCGGCCCTCTGCGGAAGAATGACACGGAGCGGTCGGCCACCGGTATCGATCGGTGTTTTGTCTCACGCCAAATTTTCGCAAATATTTAGTGACTCTATCAGCATAGACTACGCCTTTTTCGTGGCCAGCACTAGCAGTTGGGTGCTGTGGGTGAAGAGGGTAAGACCACTGTAGTGGTGGAGGGAGGGTTGGAGGGAGACAGCATCCCCCCCCCCCCCCGCGCGTGAACAAAGGACAACACAAAAAGATTTTACTGCTCCTGACCAAGACGAACGGCAAAAAAAGAGGCTGAAGATATGCACATAAACCAATTCTTCGTCATCGACTCGACCAGCAGCAATGGTCTTCTCTTGCATGCACAGCCGGAACACATACCACGTTCATGCACACAAAAACGACAGAAGCAACAGGCAACAACAAGCAACAGAGCGAGCAGCGGGGAAAGGCCCAGACACGCAAAATACCGGCCAAAGACGGCGTACTGTTGTACGTGCCTGTTGGGCTTCGGCTGCGGGCCCTTGTACTCTGGCTTGAGGGGTTTTCCGCTCTTCACCCCCTCCTTGGCCTTTTTCTGCACATCAGAGTCAATGATATAGTCACCGAGTTAATTCAAGGGGAGACAGGGAGGGGGGAGGGTAAAGGGTGAAGACATTCGGACCGGTCGGCACCAAGAGGCGCTGCTGCCCGTGGGTTCTGCTGCTGTCCATCGTCAATGTTGTTGTCTTAACGATGAAACTCGTTTCACCACACAAGGCGACGACCTCGAACGCAACAAGCGCACGCTGGTAGGCATTGGGCGGCCGGGTGATGCATTTTATCTACCAGATACAGAAGTGCATGCCTAGACACAGCCGGCACAAAAATGGCACACACCAACCAACCACCACCACCACTAACACCAACACATCCCCACACACCAGCAGCAGCACCATCAGCAACAACATCAGCAGCAGCAGCAGTAGCAGCAGCAGCAGCAGCAGCAGCAGCAACAACAGCACCACCACCACCAACAACAACAACAACGGCGGCACTCCAAAAGCCCATACCTTGGCCATGTAGGCCGCCATGGGATCGTCCGCGCGTATCTCGGCCTTCCGGGCTTCCTCCAGCCGTGTGTCGTCGACCGTGCGCGCGAAAGGCTCTGCGGCGATGTTCTCCAGCTCCTCCTTCCACTGCTTCTCCTCTTCCTTCTGCACCTTCCCGCGGCCCCAGGCAAACTGGTCCTTTGCCTCCTCGACCTTCAAGTTAGGGTTGGGGTTAGGGTCGGTTGTTTGTTTTTGTTTGTTTTTATGCTCACAAAAACGGCGGTCAGATTTTGACCCATTGCGACGTCGTTCTAAAGGTTAACAAAAAAGAACTTGGTTGGTTGAGGGCCACCAACATGTTTTCTAAAAGAGTGAGTCGCAGGTTCGAATCCAATGCTGAATGAGCATTCGGGGTGGTTATTCTTCCGGAAGACCCTGGATCCTGTTGGATAAAGAGTATGTGACGGTAAAACACGACGTTTGAGACCCCGCACAATCTGATGCGGACGTGGGTGAAGGCACGAGAAGAAGTGCAGGACAACATTAAACGGTAAGACGGTAGAGGTCAGAGATATTCTTCGGAAGGAAAGGTGTCGGGTGGGTCATTCGGACCCCACGAGGTACTTTCGTAGCAAACGAATGAAGCCATCAGAGCAGTGGGCGCCGACTGGTCCGATGGATTGATTTCGGTTTCCAAAAACCTGCTGTTTATTCCGTAAACTACCCGCATTGCGCCGTTAAAAAACTTCCTGATGCGTCTCCGCTGCGCGCGGCGCTCTTCATGACAAGGATAGATATAGGGTTAGGGTTAGGGTTAAGGTTTACGTCTCTCTCCGCTGCCTAACCCGAAAACGGAGCCCATTTTCCCATCTCCACACAAGCTACGTCGACAAAACGTTACAACAAGCCAACCCAACGACATTGTCATCCATCAACCGTAGGCGACGCAAGATATCACACCCCCTGGATCGATTTTCACAGCTCCACTTCTCCACGGCGAAGAAGACGCATGAGTCAAACGATACGTTTTCGGAAAGCTCTCGACGAAACGGTTTCGACGCCGCCATTTGCGGCACCACCACTGGAGAAATCGCGCTTTGAAAATCAGTCCGGGGGGCGTGGTATCTAACGTCGCCTACGGTCCCCACCCACCTTCTTGCCCGCTCTCGCGTCCTGCGACTTCATGAACTCGTTGAGCATGTCGAGCTTACGGCCCTTCTTGTCGCGGTACACCGTCTCGGCGCCCTGGCCGGAGCTACTCTTATCCGCTCCCTTCATCTCAGCGTCCTGCGTGGAAGGCGGTGGACGAACAAAGGAGATGGGTTAACGGGACCAAGCAGATCAAAGGGTACAAACACAAACAGCAAGGGCTACTCTTGGGGGGTGATTTTTCAAAAAAGGCTGTGTAGCAGAAAACAGAAAAATAGAGGGGGGGGGGGCATTGAGAGACTAAGAGAGAGAGAGAGAGAGAGAGAGAGAGAGAGAGAGAGAGAGAGAGACGGGAAGGTTCGAGGAGCATATGGAGGTCGCCACAGAGGCACTGCAACTGCAACTGCGACGACACGTCCGTTTCTTTCCCTGAAAGTCGATCACATCACATCACATCGATGACAAAGCTCGACCGCAGGTACAACGCCAAATTGACAAATTCCCAAACGGCGAACAAATCCTCCCCGGAAAAAACATTTGCGTGGCACGCTCTGGACTACCTTCTGCAAGGAATGAACTATTATTACCGGTCACAGGTGACACGTAGAGATGTCGTAATCAGCTGGTTCACGAACGACCACGAATCAGCCTTATACCGTATACGACGCAAGATAACACACCCCCTGGACCGATTTCCAAAGCTCGACTACGCCACGACGAAGAACATTCATTAACGAAACGATACATTTTCGGGAAACTCTCGACGAGACGGCTTCAACGCCGCCGTTTTCGACACCCTCTGCTGTTGAGAAATCGAGCTTTGAAAATCTGTCCAGGGGGTGTGCTATCTTGTGTCGTATACGGACGAGGGCCAACCCAACAACCAAAACGCCTCCTTGTCCCAACCCCTCCCCAAATCAGCCCTCACATGCTTGCGCTTGAGGTTCTGCTCGACGACCTTGAAGTCCTTGCCGGACTGGAGTCCCGCGTAGTACCCCGAAGACGTTTTCACACGGCCATCGCCACCCGCTTTCCCATCCTCCTCCGGAGAGTCATGCCTCCGTCGCCTCTTACCGCCACCGCCGCCGCCCTCCTCCTCCGCACGGGAAGAAGAATCGCGACGTCCTCCTCGTCTGGGGGGCGACGCATCATCATCCCGCCCCCGCCGCCCCGCCGCGGCCCCCGTCCTCCCCCGCGGAACCGAACCATCGCTGCCGCTGCTGCTGTCATGCCTCTCCCGCGGCCGCCGCGTTCTACGGGGAGGGGACGCGTCTCCGTCTTTGCTGTTTTCCTCGCGACTTCTTCTCCCGCTACCGCCCTCACGCCTTCTCCTCGGCGGAGACGATTCGCCGCCGCCTGGACGTCGGGGAGGGGATGCGTCTTCCCCCTCGCCGCCGCCGCCTTTGCTCCTGCCGGAATCCCCTCCTTGACGGCGCTCGTTCCTGCCCCCGCTACGGTAGCCGGCGTCACGACGCCCCCTGTCCCCTCCGCCGCTGCCGTTCCGCCTCGGAGGAGAAGAATTCTCGCGCGATTCCCCCCCGCGCGAGGGACGCCGGGGAGGCGAAGCGTCTTCGGCTTCCCTGGAGCTCCTACTACGGCCGCCGCCGCCGTTCTTTCGGCGTGGAGGGGAGGCGTCTTCCTCGTCCGAGCTGTCGTGCCGCCTCCTCTGTCTCCTTGACGGGGACGCATCTCCATCGTCCCCGGGGTCAGTTCTCCCGCCGCGACCATCTCTCGGGTTTCGACGAGCAGGGGAGGCATCTTCCCCGTCCGAGCTGTCGTGCCGCCTCCTCCGCCTCCTTGGCGGGGACGCGTCTCCATCATCCCCGGGGTCACTTCGCCCACCATTTCTCGGGTTTCTACGAGGGGGAGAGGCGTCGCCCCCGTCCTCCGAGCTGTCGTGCCGCCTCCTCCGTCTCCTTGGCGGCGACATGTCCTCCCCGTCGTTGCCGCCGCCGTTGCCGGTGGCTCCGACTCCCACGGTTGTCCAAGAGCCGGACTGCGCTTTCATCCCCACGTCGGGGTCGTCAATCACCAGGGCAGGTTTCTCCTCTTCACAAACGAAGAAAAAATAGGGACGGATAGGAGGGAGGCGACGGAGGGAGGGGAGGGACGGAGGGGTGTAGTGAGCAACAACGACTCTTGCAATGGTGTGTAAACGGGGCGAGGGTTGAGAACGAACTGCTGTGGCGGCCGCTAAACATTGATTTACTACGGTACATCCGCGAAAGGACAATGCTTTTAGAGCGCAAAGTATCCAAGGCTCTCCAGGCGTGGGCCCCCGCCTTCCCCTCCTTTCCTCAGCTGCGAGGACCTATCAAAAGCACAAAGCGAACGCGGCAGCTTTCGAACGAATTAGGCCCGATACCACACTTACACACACCACACCTTCCGTCTCCTCCTCTTCCCACGCCTTGTTGACACGCTTCCTGTCGAGTGTTGTCATGCCCGCCTCGTCGTCGATGATCCGAAGACCCCCGCCGCCTGCTCTTGCCGCGTCCCTCCCGTCCTTCGCGACGCCGCCGCCGGCGGTCTTCTTCCTCCTTCTCTTCTTCTTCCCGTCATCCTCGCCTCCTGAATAAACAAATAAATCAATGTATGCAGATATATGTAATCTTAAATGGACTCAAAATAGGTCGGTCTCCTCCCACATACTGCAACCCATCCCCTTCAAATGCCCTGGGTATTTCTCGAACGGGTGATGTTGCTGGTGATTGTATGTACATATTTTTTCTCAAAAAAAAGTTTATGAGGGTAAGTCTTGATGGCGTCAAAACCTGGTCCGTCGCAGCAGCAGCAGCAGCAGCAGCCAAGCTGGAGTTGAGCGGGGGATACGCGGGGTCAAATGGCAAGGGCCCACCCAATCGGCTGTCTGTGTAGTGTTGCGCGGGTTCAGCGGGAGGCCCCCCCGTCGAGTCGCATTTGGGAGTGCACTCCAATGGCCGATTGTGAGCACATGGGGAGGCACCGGCCGCATAACATACTGCGGCACTGCTGCTGCACACCAGGTGCACAGAGGGGATTCGCAACGAGATGCCCACAGGGTCTCAGGCTGTAGACTTACGCCGTCGACATACTTTGAGACGGAATGCTCTTCGATTTGAGGATGCTGGGCTGGGAGGCGCCTGCATATGGAGCAGTAACTTTTTTTTGCAGCTGCCAAGCACCACCGATGGTCCTGTGAGAGCTGGCGGCGAGCTGGTTAGTTCAATGGATACGAGGTGGCGAGAGACGGTAGGCTGCTGTTCAAAACAACAGGCCGCTCTTGTACAAGCAGCAGGTCTAGACTGTACGCAGTACACTCGATAGTAGAGTACTGCTGTAATGTTGTAGACAAACCACCTGCGCAGGTCGCACACACCATGATCTTGACATCTTCATGGCGCCACGGTCTTTCTCTACATCTCCGCGCACTACGCTCAAGATGTTTCAACAGCGCACACCGCAGAAGAGAAGCTACCACACGAGAGCAATCCAGGTTGAGAGTGCACTGCTGTGAAGGGGTCACTAGCGCGCATCGGGTTTGCTGGGGGTTGGGTGAGGGCTTGTTGAGGACAACAAGCTTCCGCGTTACTTTCGAAGCCAGCGAGCGGTGTACCAGCGACCGCAAATGGAGGCAATGTCATGCAGACGTGCTCAACCTTAGGCGGAAGCGAGACTGGGCGCGCAGCCTTGATACTACGCTGTACATCAGGCAGTGAAGTGTAGTCAAGCCACGGCTGTACAACAATATTAGCAACAAATTTCACTAGGGCGCCAATCACAGAAAGATTTGCACCAACGATCTCACCTGGCATTCCATACTTCTTCAGGTAGTCGAGTTTTGAGCTCATACTGCGAAGCGTGTGTCAGGTGTGTTGGAGCGAAGGACGAAAGGCGAGCCACAGCCAGTTCCAGCGCGCCACTAATGCTGAATGATGGGCAAGGGGGGGGGTTCGGGGCCGGGGGTTCGAGGCAACGCCTGGGGGGGGGGGCACGCAGACAATAGTGACAGTCCTGTCTTTCCGTCCTGCTGTGGGGCCAGGCAGCAACGAGCATCCCCAGGGTGCAAGTTTGGAGTACGTGGCCCACTCTGTGGCTGTCTTGTAGGTTGCAGGCGGCTGGATCTCAGCCCGAGGCATTAGGAGAAGCGATGGCGCCACAAACTGCACGACCGGTGCTTTCTGATGCAGGTGACAACACAGCAGTTGGGTCATTTTTTTCTTCTCTCTTCGCCTCCTTCTTTCCGCTCCTCCGTCTGATTGGCTGTTCCTCGCTGACACTGCTGCGTCACACACTCGCGTGTTGTGCAACCGTGCAACCCAAGCATTGACTCACTGCTGTCTGAGAACACATACTTGTACCTGTCTAACATGGCACCATGTATAACGAGAATTTTGCTGCTGTGTTCCTTCCGTGCCGCCGAAATCCGAAGTTCGGATGTTCCAAGCCACCAACGCTCTGGAGCAGTTTGTGCGGATGATCTTGTAGCGACGGCGACGCTGCTTTTCCGAGTGGAAGTACGTTGGTTCCCCACTTGTGCGTTGTGATCGCGTTCGTCACCATCAAAGTCTCATAACCCAATTCCAGCCGAGAAGCGCACGCGCTGCAGTCTGCACATACTGCTGTGTAACAAGACAAGATAGGGCTGATTTCTGCCCAGTGGATCGCGTCGTTACGCCCCGTGCAGTCCAACACATCTTCCCCATCTCCTCAAAATACAAAGAGTCTTGACGTTTGAGTATCTTCATGAACAGCAGTCACAGATTAAGTCGTGATACCCGACTTGAGGAGGCGTATACCGTATTCCGTCTACAGCGCAAGCGCATGGCAAACTTGAACTTGGGCACCATATCAACCTAAAACAACCTAAATAGAGCGGGACGAGACGAGTCTGTAAATTAAACAAAGAAAAATGGCGAGCCCCAAATTTGTGTTCCCATTTACCAAATGTGGATGAGATATGGTTTACGTCTCTGGTCGGTCTATACTCACATCAAATGACAGCCACCTTATTGGGCGGATACCAGCATAGTCGGTTGTCCTCTCCATGGTACCGATGGTTCCACTGAACGTGGCTCAGCTTCCTTTGGAAACGTATACCATGACCTCAAAGGGAGATTAAGATTGCCAGTTCGAGATTATGATGCCCCGTTCGAAGGCGTGCACGTGCAGTGTACACGATGAGGGAAACCCGCCCGAAACCGTACTTATTCAAGTCTGTTTTGGCCTCGACATGGAAAGATCAGTGATGCCAGACGGAACGAAAATACCTACAAAAAAATCAGGGATTCATCCAACGTATGCGTTGTACCAGAACATCCCCTGCAAGTCGCCGCTTGCTCAAAGACGCAAATGCCAGGGAGGACCCTTAACTCCCGGCTATGTCGTGCGCTATGAAAGCCCTGCCTTGAACCCCGACTTTGTAGGAACACATCGCAACGTATTGGGCTACCTGATGCTGGAGTTCACCATGTTTTTCGTGTTGCCTGCCTCTCCGCCCCCGCCCCCCCTCCTCTGACTCTGTACAACTCTGCCCGCAAGTCTCCGCCATACATAGTACACGCACAATACACACGCTCATTGTTAGTTGGTTCTGTGGTCTCGGGTGTTGTACGAGTTCCGCTTGAACGAACGAACGACTTATATCGTTTGCCCATTCCCGTTCGCCGGCCCCCCTCCCTCCCTCCCTCCCTCCCTCCCTCCCCCTGGCCCCCCGTTTGCTACAGCGAGAGATATCATGGCGGGGGGCTGCGCGGGGATGGTGTCAATATTAATCATGTACCCGATGGACACGGTGAGGTTTCGCACATCGCATAGATTCACAGCCTGTTTTGGTGGCGCCAGGTTACATACCAAGGGAGATTGATCAATCAATTCCCTGCGGTTCGTCTGAGTGTTGCTGTGCAACAATAGGGTGTACCTCGTCTAGCATACGATGTGGGATGGCCAGGAGGTATACATCTCTACGGTCCCATACCACATCAGGACTAATCTGCGTACCCCCTGGCTGAAACGGTACAGCATGCACCTTCAGCTCAGACGTTTCTCGCTCAGCAAATTCAAGGAACAACATCCCGTTCCTACACAATCAATCGTGGATTAAGGAAAATAAATACACACACAGACAGACTGCCCATTACGATCAAAGAGCTTCAAGCGACCCTTTCCTAATGTTTTCTCCAGGATCATTCATACATCTCACCTACTCGCAGTCCGTGATACTTTGTCCACGCACAGTCAGTAGTACGGTACGTTGCACGGTACGGTAGCCTAGTCGGGTCCCCGCTGCCAGAATCAGTCACGTTGCACGGTACGTTAGCCTAGTCGGGTCCCCGCTGCCAGAATCAGTCACGTTGCACGGTACGGTAGCCTAGTCGGGTCCCGGCTGCCAGAATCAGGCAGTCAGCACTGATGGGGAGCAATCCATAACGCTCTCCTGTGTGCAATCTAATCTAATCGTGGGAGCTATGGGTTCTCAAGCACTTCTTGGAGAACGGAGGAGGATGACGGGGATGGCCCTGTCTCCCCCCCCGCCAAAATCCGCCCTCCAACTCCCCTTGGCTGGCTGCTGCCACCCAGCTTCTGCATTTGCTGGCTGCTAGTGCTATTACTGTTGTGCTGTTGCTGTTGCTGTTGTCTTCACAGTGGGGAGTCGTTCTTACATACCTCTCTCCCACGTGTAACAGTATGCAGCTTCTCTCTATTTGTTCTGAGTTTTGGTCCGAGACGTGCTCTCTTTCGTAAACATTGATGCACAACACCTCCATGGGTTTTTGAGGCTGCAGGTGCAGGCCTGTTGCCGGGTGCCCGTGGTAGTCATGTCCCCGCCTCTGACTTTTTTACTGCTGTCTCCAAGAAGTATTCACCAAGACGTTGCAGCCGGATGTTCCGCGTATTCCGTATCCGAAAAGGTTCGAGGCACTTGACATAGCATGTCCCGTGTCTCTCACACGCCCATATTGTAGCGAAAAAAACTCCGGGTACTTGTTTGAGCATGTTCCCTGTCTCTCCGATATTGTACAGCAGCAATATTTTACTAGACGGCTGGGGTACAGCTCCAGCAGGGCTGAAGATCTTCTGCACGGCCTATCTTTAGGCCTTTCTTTGCCCCTTGAGAGGCTCTCCAGAGCTCAGTGATGGACGAGGCTTAAGCCAATGACGCCATCCTCACCCATCTACATGCGCGCCTCTACTGGTTTCATCGCCGTGGGCTTCTGGCCAATCATCGGGGCCGGGGAGGCAACTGTCATGGCCGACAGCGTCGATGTTTCGTGTTCCGCTGCTTTTCAACACTTGCAAGTGTGGCGTTTTTCCGGCGCATGTTGCTGGCGCTCGGAGCCATCGCAAGGACCGAGCGCCATCGCAATTTCGCTGGAAGAACGCCACACGTCCGGCGTGTCGAAGCAGAGGACTTGACGGCCACGACAATCGTCTCCCATGACCCGATGACCCTACTATGATGTTGAATCCACGCGCGTGAAGTACCGTATACGACGCAAGATAACACACCCCCTGGACCGATTTCCAAAACTCGATTACGCCACGACGAAGAACATTCATTAACGAAACGATACATTTTCGGGAAACTCTCGACGAGACGGCTTCAACGCCGCCGTTTTCGACACCACCGCCGCTCTCTCTGCTGTTG